TTGCTCCCTAGTACTATCAAAGAAGGGACATCACAGGGTCGCTCTGCAATGGAAATTCCCGGAGCGGAAATAATAATGGTGAATACTGTAAAACGTGTACTCCCCAAGTCTGCCGGAAATAACAATTTCATATATTGCATAAAAATGCACTTTCATATTCATTGTAGGAAATAACACCGGAAAGTGGATAGGAAACAAAACGGGGAATGTTTATTTGCCGTCTCACTTGTAATTATACTGTTAACAATTAAACGGTGACATTTGTGCATCATTTTCACGTACTACAGTAAAGACAGTATGCGATCAGTACATATATTTCACGGAAGAACTAATTTATTGGTTTACTACTATTTATTTGGTTGTTTGTTTTAATTTCGCTTATAAAAGAAACTATTCCTGAAAATATAACTGAATTCAGACACCTTAATTCAACATTAATTTGTTAGGCCTCTAACCTTTATTAATATATTTAGATTTTATGACCTTTACAAGCACATACAAGAAATAAACAGCATTTTCACGGTTAGTGCATTATTATTTAGCATCAGTGTTCGTGTGTGTGTACTTCACCGTAATGCTGTTTATATTAAATTCAGATCAATATTTGTCTTTGGATAAATTTCCGAATTGGAAGTTAACCACAGATCCCGTCACTGACTACCCTTTCCTGTGAAATTACATTAAAGGTGTTTTAGTGATATTAATCACAATGACGAAATTTAGATGTTATTGTAGATAACCCGGCTGCGTCCATAAAAAAAATAAATCGTTGGCGCCCCCACCAGTTTGCTTTGCGAATTGCCATATTTTTATGTATATACACTACCAGTCAAAAGTCATTGCACGCAGTGAGTTTTCCTACAGTACATTTGCCTGAGAGCTAGAGCAGTCAGTATCAGCATGATAGATAATAATTCGGGAGCTGCAGGCGCGCACTTCTAAGGAAAACAGGTAACATTCCCGTTATGTGCATGTGAACCATGCAGCACTGTCAGGGATATGACGCGCGGGTGGCATAATAGTGAATAGCACAAAATAGTGATCACTACGTGTAAAAACGTTCCAAAACAGCGACCTGGTATAGGGTTTGGAGTGAAAATAATTGTATGAAACATATTAAATATAAGCGTTAAGCTGGGCTACCCTGACCATGTTAAAGGTTGGGTTTCTGTCACATTAATGGGTCAAATTAGGCTAACTAACGTTTCACATCACGTCGTTAATTAAAAAAAAAATAAAAAAAAATATTTTATGAAGGGTGTGCTATCAGTAATGGTGTCCATAGAAACATTTCAAAGCCAAATTTGGATATCAGGTGTATTTGATGTTGGCTTGTATCCATCCATCCATCCATCCATGTTCTGACGATTATCTGGGGTGGGGTCGCGGGAGCAGCAGTCTAAGCAGGGATCCCCAGACCTCCCTGTCGCCGAGGGTTTACCAAGGGGTTCCTAGACCAGCCAAGAGATATAATCTCTGCCGCATGTCCTGGGTCTGCCCCAGCGTCTCCTCCTGGTTGGACATGCCCGAAACACCTCCCCAGGGAAGCGTCCAGGAGGCATCTAGATAGATGTCCGAACCAGATACCAAAGTACAGTAGTGATGCTTTTTTAAGTCCAGACTCAGCTGTGTGTTTACAGGAGCAGACTGACTTCTCTTGGATCCCTAGGCTAATATGGCCACTTGAGCGATTTAGTGAAGCTGACGGGGAAACAACTTTGAATTAAAAATGATGCAACATCGATAATCAACGTCAGCGCTGATGTCAGTCAAAGTCAATGCTGTCACCGATCAATATCTCAGGGTGCTGGTGTTAGAACTTCCCAGGACGTGCATCGTGCCAGAGGATTTACAAGATTCAATATATTAAACCATCCCATTTTCCTGAAGGTGGGGCGGGGCTCTGATTTAGCCTGGGCCCTAGGCTGTAGCCTTGGATAACCTACGTATTAATCCTGTTTACATGTTACACCTTCATTCTTTTCACAATTAGGTCATCATGTATATGAGCATAAGAGGCCACATAGGCCAAAATTCCTACTTCGTCTTCTCAGAGATTGTGTCACACTCTCTTAAGCACACAGCTGTCCTTCTCACCAGGGGCCACTGGCAGGAGGGAACTGGATCAGTTGTCCCCAGGCCCTGGGCCAACGGGGGCCCAAAAGGGCCTTCTAACATTTAAATAATCTGCTGGAATAATTAGTCAAAATATATACAGTGGTCCCCGCCTGTCGCGGAAGTTACGTTCCAGACCCATCAGCGATAGGTGAATATCTGCGATATAGAAAGACCATATAAATAAACATTTTTTATAGTTTAAGCCTTAAAATACCCCTCCCACACGCTTTAAACACATGTAAACTTATTAAAACACACTTTGTAAACGCATATGATATGTGGATGTCGGGCTAAGGATATGAGTAACATAATAATGATAATAATATGTAATGTGTGTGTGTATGTATATATATATATATATATATAGCGCCTTCTCACCAGGGCCAATGGCAGGAGGGAACTGGATCATATATATATATATATATATATACACACACATCGCAGAGAAGTGTGATGCGTCGGGGAAAAATCCGCGATATAGCGGGGGATCACTGTATTTGGGAAAAAATTTTGTTAGCTATTTGTTAGCTATTGGGAGGAACGATTCTGATCAAAATGGGCCAGAGCCTTTCATTTTATTTATACGACCGAAGACATGTTTATAATTCATTAGTAAATCTGAAAAACAGATTGATCTCTTTTGATTTCCAAAATATAATAAACAATGTAACAATATTTCACTAATAGTCACTGGCAAGTTTCACCACAGGCACTGGCAATATTATACAAAGGTATATCAATAGTAGGTAGCAGGAACTAAAAAGGAGTTCTGGAATAGCCTCCAAGGAACAACAATGGGGCCAAGTTCTTGTGATGCCAGCTTGACAAAAGTATCTACTGTAGTTCCGGAAAATGGTTCTGGTTCCAGAAAAAAGTTCCTTGCAGTATACAAATGGAACATGCATTGTATGTGCATTTTAACCAGTTGAACTGTATGCAGTTGGGAAATATATGTGTGGGGCAGGGGGGACAAGGGGAGGGGGCTTACAGCAGTCCTGCTGCTCACACACATTTTCAAACTCTATCATACATAGTATTGTAGCAAGGTTTTGAGTCATTCTAAATAAAGTAGACAGCTCTTTTAAACCAGCTTTTAATGATGGCCCTCTGCCAACATTCCAACTAACAGCAGCACTGGGGAGGCAGAAATTTACAGGACATTCAAACTCGAGGCAGACACTAACAAAAACATATCAGTAAAACATTAAACAGGTGTAATACTGTACATACTATTTATGACATAAATACGTGAACGAATACATAAAATTACAAGATTAACTTACAATAGTGGCCATAAAGGGCATTTTCTAATATGGGTATTTGTCATTGGAGACCCCCAGTGTCTGTAAAATTAATTCGCCCCCCAACAAAATATAGTGTAAGGTCACGGGGGCTCCGTGACCCAAAAGTCACAGCATACAACATGATGTTAGCCCGATTAGTTACTTTCTGCTGACTGGCTCTGTCACAGTATCATACTTTCTCTCTCTCGAACATCCCTGTACACTCATCACATTCACATGTATTATCAATGTGTGCAATAGCTTGTGTGAGAAAAATTATATCAATCAGGGGCCGTTGGAATCATCCTAACTTTTGTCCTCTTTACTGAGGCTCTCAGTGGACAAATGGTTATGGAAAACATACGAATCATTTTTATCCTGTTCAAAACTGGTTATCAAAGCATCCCTGTGCTGGGTAGTACTGGCTGATTCAAAGAAAGAAATGATGAAGTTTACATTGCATTACAAAAATGACAATAAGTAGAAATCACCCAAAGCTAAGAGTGTGTTACTATTTTGCTAAGGGCACTTTTCCACTGCACCAGGTTCTTTTTTGAAGCACCAGAAGTACAGCACTTCTCTTTTCCACTGGCATGAAAACTGGTACCGGTGCTGAATGACATCATTACAACAACAAGGTGGAGTATTTTTTAAATACATTTTTAAAAATGGCAATAGTATATAGGCAGGGCGACGTGCAATATTAATACCAACATCATGTTATGCACATGCAATTCTCACATCTCAAGGACCGTGATAGTCAGCTGATGTGAGATCAGGCTTCATCATCCTGTCCAGACATCATAGTACAAGGGGTTTAAGTTTCGCTAAAACATTTTATTCAGTTGTAGGAAACAAAACTTAGCAAGGTTTGAAATTTTAATGATTGTTCCTTTTCAAGATTACCTAGCATATGTTTAAAAAGTTTGCTCCTACCGCTTCTGCATGAGCTCTGCATGCGCTCTCCAAGACAATCACAATCATTTTCATCCTTGGTGTTTAAATTATTCTTAGATGGGTTTGCAAGAAATGTATTTTGCAGTCATTTTTTTGCTTTATAAATGCCCCAGAAAAGAAATATCTGTTCTTCTGACCAGTTGTCAATTAAAACTTGAGTCTCTTCATTTGTCCATGTGTCCATTATTACTTTTTTTCTTTGACTTAATGTATCGTTGTTTTCTGAGTTCGTCGCTACACTTTTTCAGGACAGCAGATGTTTTGTTTTTTTGTTTGCTAGACTGGTTATTTGCACAACCAAACTGACAATAACCACATTTGAAAGTCCTGCCCCAAAGTACTGAAAAAGTACCCCAGCTGGTTTGGTACTTTGCCTGCTGGTAGTTTTGGGTACCTGACTGGAAACCAGCAGAAAAGGGCCCCGGTAAGTACCAAATTTTTACTACCAAAATAACGATACATGGAGCAGTGGAAAAGTGCCCTAATTTGTTTAAATTGACCAGTTTCATAGTTTTAGAACCTATTTTATAAGTACAAAACTTTCTGTGCTATTGAACCTTTCCAGCAAAATATCCAGATGGGTAACACTGTTAAGTGCTGAATGGGCACGGAGTGGACACAGAGGAACGGGAGTCCAGGAAGTCGGGGAAGCAAAGGATTTATTGGGGAAACAAGGGTTTTACTGGGGAAACAGTCAGACACACGGGACAAAACAGGCGGTAACGTCAATGACAGGACTGGGAGAAGACAAACAGGGAGGTACTTAAATATACCAGACTACATTGAACAAAACTGGACACAGCTGGTGACACAGGGATTCCACACAAGGTGGCGAGGGGGAGGGGGCGTGGCACAAGGGGATCGGATGAGCGGGGCATGACAAACACTGAAAGTTGCTTTAAATAAAAAGATTTACAGTTAAGCAGCTAAATGTAAACATCAAGGTCTAAACAACACTTTATGTAACACAATAATAAAATAATTTCATATATCACATTTGAGGTTACTGCTAATCTAAAAATAATTGCACAAAAAAACACCTTATACTCAGACATTTTTACTTATAAAATTTAAATGAATAAATATTACAGTTTGTGCAAGTTTTCACAGACATGGTGTCTGGCTCTGTGAGTTAGGAGATGGTCGTGGTTCAAATCCCATGGGGGGCCGTGCGATGTCGCTGTCGTCACTTCAGCAAAGTCCTTAACCCCAAAAGTTTTAGGGACTGCCTGGCCCTGCTTCCTCAGTTGTGTGCTACTTTTGTTAAAAAAACATCCTCAAATAATGTAATCTGCAGTGGAGGTAGGATCCATCAGTTAAGCATGCCATAGATGACACAGTATAAAATATGCACGCTTGTAATTTACTGAATCATATGCACCTTAAAACCATTCACGTGCAACATGGTATTCCCAAATATTTTTTTGGTGAGATTCCAACAATGACACATATTCAAATTCAGGAAATATGACACTGGAATATTTGAGAAACAAAAAAGGAAAGGCAGTACAAACCGTACAAATTACGACAGTTTTGTTGTTACTGCCATAATTTAGCTACTCTTTTATCTTTTTGGCTGTACACAATATGCCTTGAGCTGTCCACCTGGCTCTTCTGTAAATCATTTTAATTAAGCATTGATTGATTTAATTAAGCAAGTTTTCTAATAATGTTACATTTGTAACATTTATCAAATGCAGAGGTTTAAAAATGTTTAAAAGTGCTAAGCGGGCTGCTCAGGATTGTCCATATTTACACGTGCAGTTTCTTCGGTCTTCTGGATAATTAACTTGTTAAGTCTATCTGCATTAATGTTTTTCCCGTTTCTTCGCAGGAACTTCATGAGCTCTGGAAAAGCTTGGTTCAGCCCATTTTTTTCGTACCAGTCCCTCAGTATGCTGTAACACTGCTCCTTAGCATTGTGTGGGTGTTCATTAATGTGCATCTGTATCTGTGCCTCTTTGATGCCAGATCCAACTGCCAGCTCTTTAACCAGCTGCGGGCCAAGTTCTTCCACAATGTCGTACAAGTGGTTCGAGAGGTCGACACCTACAGAAGGTCAGGAGATTCCAGGTTAGCACCAGGCCACTCCGTATGACAATAAATCACCTTCTTAGAGTTTAAGCAAATCTGGGATTGTGAACTGAGGTTGTATTGGTTAAGTCTGCAAGCAATAATATTATGCATATTTAATGCTAACAGTCGTAAATTGTTGTAAATTGTAGTAAATTGTAGTAAATTAAGTAAAAATAAGTAGAAAAGTAGGTGTACTAACCTGGCATTAATGGGATGGGCTAGAAAAGACAAATAAGTTGCACTAGTTACATTTAAATTTTTACATTCACAATTAGTTTACATACTAAACGAGGCATATGATCACCACTAAATAACCTATATCAATGTTGGATCAGGCCAAAGCAGACTAATACCAGATGGTTGAAAATTGCCATGATTGTCGTATACCACATGGGGGCGCTCTGGGTACATTCATTAACCTTTATTTTACCAGGCAAAGCATTACGAACAGTTTCTTATTTACAATGACAATGAGTACCACTGTTTGAGAACCACTAGCTTATATGATCCGACAATGAAAAAAAAAAACCCTCACACAAGTAGGACATCAAGATTTATGACAAGAGAAGTGTTTTTTTTTTTAATAGATCTGAGCCAGCATTCTGCCACGTTCCCCCTCCCAAGTTTAGCGTAGAGCGAGTTACTCAGGGTGCTTGTTTATAGATTTACAATTTTCTGTACTTAATGGTATTAACAGTGAGAAGAATGTAGAAAGAGAATTGTGCTAAGATATTCCCCTTACTGAAATATGAGCATCGAGGACTAATTTGCTTACACGTCACAATTATTGTTGTGTTAGTAAAAATTTAATTAATAAAAGAAGAGTGTAAAAAAAACCGTGGGATGGTCTGATCAAAGTGGAGGTACAAGCTGCAGGTTTTCATGAGCTACTGTGTTAAGATCTGAAAACTATTCACAGTTTATTGGATAAGTAGCATAATAAACAAAATATTAAAATGTAATTTAATTAATCATGGCCAGCAGGGTAGTGCGGTGGGTAGCAGTGTTGCTTCACACTTCAGGGACCTGGATTCCGTGTGTGTGGAGTTTGCATGCTATCCCTGATTGGTGTGTGTGTGTGTCTGATTGGTGTTTGAGTGTGTCTGATTGGTGTGTGAGTGTAACTGATTGGTGTGTGAGTGTGTCCTGCAATGGGTTGATGCCCTATTCTGGGTTATTTCAGCAAATGTATGGAATTTAATTAAACTCATTTTTTTAACAATTATACTCAATTAGCTTAATAAGGATGCTGCATTCATGTAAATTCCATCACACATATTTACTAAATATTCAACCATATACATGCAAGCATGAAATGTTACCCACCTCAAATTCAGTCAACTCAACTGGACACTTCTCAACTCCTATTTACAAAAAATGAAGCAAATTAGATATATATTAGATATATATGTACATTTAAAATAAAAATTTGAGGGTCGCTATGCACTTATGACACTTGCTGTTACTAATGGTACTTACCGCTAAAACAGACCATCCGTTTCATCCAGAAATATCCAAGTACAAGTACAAGTACAAGTACAAGTACAAGTACAAGTGTTATGACTGGAATAATCCATTTATGATGGATGTCACCTAAAACAGACAGAAACTATTCAACATCACAATAAAAAAATAATAAAGAAAAACAACACAGTTAGCACTGGACTAAAACAGGGGTAGGCAACTCCGATCCTGGGGTACTGGTATCCAGCAGGCTTTCCATCCTACCTGATGAGTTACTATCTGCCTGTGATCAGATGTGATTCATCAGAGTCCAGGTAGGATGGAAAACCTGCTGGGTACCAGCACTCCAGGATCGGAGTTGCTACCCCTGGACTAAAACAAGCATAACGACACATTGTTGCTCCAGAAAATGTGTTCTGACCAGTGTTTCCCAACCCGGTCCTCAGGGATCCCCTGATGACCCATGTTTTTCTTCACTCTCAGCTCTCTGCCAGACACTCCACATTTTTGCTCCCTCCCAGAGCAAAACGTGGACTGTCTGTGGGTCACCAAGAACCGGATTGGGAAATATTGGTTTAGACAGAAAGGTCAGAGGAAAGAACCTCTGTGACATCATCTGTGACAATTAATTTTTGAACTGATGTGCAGGAAGATAGTGTTGACTGATTGATCACTTATTTGGCTTATGTATATAAACGCATGTTGTGTGCTGTCATTTGATCAACATCAAAGCATTCTCACTTTATAGATCGGGATTATAGTGGGAAAATATTAGTGATGTTTCCACTAGTATCTGTGCTTGATTATTATTATTTTTCAAATTACAGCCATATAGAGAAGCATGCAGGAACAATGCATCAGTAGTGTGTGCGTGTGTGTTTACAGAAAGATTTGGTGTTTACCAGTGGGTTCTCTGCACACAGTGTTCTTTGTGTCTGTGCAGGGTGCAAGGATATTGTGGCCCTCGCATCTTCAAGCAAAAAAGAAAAAAAGTTATTTTTCAGACCAAGACAGTAATATGATTTCAAACATTCTGAAACTGCTGACAAACCAAGCACAAGACCCTTGAACGTAATATAGGTGTACACCAAATAAGTTTTAAAGAACAACTCTTATCATCACATCCAGATAGCGAGGTGAACAATGGCTAATTGAAAAACTATCTGTTTTTTTCCTCCAACATGCTATCTCCACTAAAGCAAACTACCAACTCAGTAAACTACCAGTCGTTGCGGTCCGAAGCTTTTGGATTTGACTGGTTTACCACGTTCCCTTCCAAAACTGATGCAACCAAAGTTTTATTAGTGCACACACACAATATGGGCACCAGTTAGAGAAATCAATTACCCTAACTAATGCATTTAATGCATGGCGTACTCCAGCGTACCCTAGAGGAGACCCCATGCACATCTGTGGCTGGGAGTTGAAGCCCCGACTTTGGAAACCTGAGGCATCAGTAGTATCCACTGAGCTGTGTTACCAGCAGTTAATAGGTGCCAGAGCTCAGCTCCTGAACCACTGGCAGTGAACTCTGTGATCCAGCACCTCTCAGGTCCACTCCGTCACCTCTAACACTACACCCAATATAATTAAACTTAAAATTCATTTGAGTTAAACTGGAACAAATGCAAACCGAAATGTATAAGAAATGCATATTTATAAAAGCAAAGGAGCAGCATTTGTGGATGCTAATGCTAATGGGAACAAGCAGAGACAGCGAGGAGAGGAGCAGCATTTGTGGAGGCTAATGCTAATGGGAACAAGCAGAGACAGCGAGGAGAGGAGCAGCATTTGTGGATGCTAATCTGCATATGATATAGCCGCAAATTCTTTTTTGTTACATTTTTGGAAAAGTGATGCTGTATGAGTTTCAGGGTCACTTTCTGATCATAAAGATTCTGATCCGAAAACTTTGGCCTAAGTTTTTCTTATGACTCTGTCAGTACTTATTACTCACCTGCTACACAAATTAACTTAGTTATTCAATAATGCACAGAATACAGAAAAATGCAAACTGATTTAAAAAAAAAAAAAAAACAGTTTAATGTCACAACTTACTTGTCACAAGGATGGCACTGACAGGTGTCCTGACAGACCCCCCAATATCCTTCCATACACTTGCATTTTGTATTACGTAATGGTGTACACGTCTCTTCTGTTTTCTGATGCACTGGAAGACAAATTGAACAGCTGTCAAAGATCTTATCAGCTGATACAGAGCACCAACACTCGAATAATATGGAAGTTCTGGCTGAAATCTCTTATGTGTTTTATAAAGATATACATTTAAAGTTGAATGGCAATTAAGAACATAAGAACATAAGAAATTTATAAACGAGAGGAGGCCTTTCAGCCCATCAAGCTCGTTTGGGGAGAACTTAACTAATAGCTCAGAGTTGTTAAAATCTTATCTAGCTCTGATTTAAACAAATCCAGGGTTTTAGCTTGCGCTACACTAGTAGGAAGACTATTCCGTACTCTAACTTCCTCGAATTCATTTTAAAATGTTCTCCCGGTAATTTCCACTTATGGCCACGAGTATTTAAACTAATATTGAAGTAGCCAGTTGGCTGAACAGCATCCAGACCTGTTAGAATCTTATATACCTGGATCATGTCCCCCCCTTAGTCTCCTTTGCTCGAGGCTAAACAGATTCAGTTCAGCTAACCTCTCCTCATAAGACATTCCTCTAAGACCAGGAATCATTCTTGTAGCCCTACGTTGAACCTTTTCCAAGGCAGCAATGTCCTTAAGGTATGGTGACTAAACCTGCACACAATATTTTAGGTGGGGTCTTACCAATTGTATAATTGTATAATTGTAGCATCACCTCCCTTGACGTAAACTCCACACACCTAGAGATGTAACCCAACATTCTATTGGCCTTTTTTATTGCATCCCCACACTGGCGAGAGTGGGACATGGAAGCATCAACACACACATCGAGATCTTTCTCGTAATCAGATACCTTTATTTCGGTGGAACCCATAAAATGTCTGTACTCACCTCCGAGTACCGAGTTCAAATGGAACACAGCACATGACTGAGATGTGTACCGACGCCTCTTCTCCACCAAATACAACCCCACGTTACAATAGGATGCCAGTCAATCACAAGCCAACCAATCACACACCTAACCTTTCACCTAACCAGCTTTTCGGACAGAGGCTGGGAATGGGGTGGAAATAGGGCAACGATTGAACCTGCAACCCTGCGTGTGGGCTACCCACTGAGTCACAACCTCACTCCATTTAAAAACAGAAACAATTCACTCTTTATGGTACGTACCGTTTGCATTGCATGATCTACACCGCTCACATTCCATCCTGCTATTGGGTTCTTCATAGTACGTGTTTTCCTGGCACTGCTCACACTTTGTCTTATTATCTTTGCCACAGTTCACTGTGACATAATGACCTATTAAAAAGAACAATTACAGAATATCAGTCAATGAGAACCACAATGACACGAGCCACCTTGGGGATTTTGCGAGTGTTTCCCAAAATACACAGGCACGACACCTGGGATACCAGTCCACCACAACAACACATGTACACATAAGCACACACTACAAATAGTACAGGGAAACCAGTGCACCTTTATGTCATTATTTAAATTACATTTACGCATTTATAACTCAGGGTCAATAGCAGTATTACAGAAGATTCCTACCAGGTGGACATTTACAGCATTCTTTCCCCTCGTGATCATAAAGACCATGCTGGCATTGCTCTCTTTTCACACGTCTTCCCTCAAGATGAAATCCTTCCTGAAAGGAAAATGGTGTGGTCGAATGCAAAGCGATCTGGAAATACAAAAAAAAAAGAAACTGTAAGTAAAATTACATACGATACGGCCATACCCGGAAACTGTTTGTTATTATTATTATTATCAGGCCTACTGTAACAATTTATTGAACCGAAAATTTATTTTAATTCCGCAATAAGATAGATTAATATAAGATATTAGTATATATTTTGAAATAGATAGGTTTGTAAACATTATTTTAGCGAACTTCAAATAGGCTAAGTGAAAGTGAAAGTGTAATATGATGTTTTCATTTATCATTAACTGCATAAACCCTTATTATATTATATATAAAATCTAGATGCATGATAATTCTGCTAATGTAAAATGCTATTTCTTTGTAAAAATAAAAACTTGATCGTCAACTTGTAAACTCGTAACTTTAAATAAAACACGAGACGGATGTTACATGAGAATACAGCAAAGTACTCTTACCTCAATAAAAAGAGCTAATACAAGCAGTCCACACTTCATTTTCCCGCAAAACAAGCCACAGTAATTAAACTAAAATAAGCAAACGGGACGCGAAGAGCACACTAGCACAAGGCCAGAGACTCCTCTGTAGTATCGTCTTCTCACGTAGCGATCGAAGAGGGCGTGGTGAGCGTGTCAAACTGAAAGGCAAGGCTGTGGAACGATAGTAAACAGGTTGATTACATGTCTATAGTTGATTACATTAGTCAAAACCTAAGTAAAAAAAAGTAAATTGATGTTAAATACAAGGATGTTTGTCGTGTCCGAGGAGGCGAGGAGGAGTGAAACCCCCAGAGGGGGTCTTAGCGCAGAGAAATCCCCGAAGGGGATTTTATTAGGGAAACCACAGAGGGCAGTAGATCCCTCTGTGGGACATTGTCAGAACTGGGGACGGTGAGACATAGGCGTTAGGACCCCCCCCCCCCCCCGCGCTCTTCATGAGGCCTGTGTCCCATATATATATAATATATATAAACTTGTTATCTAACTATGTAATTTGAAATACTACTGTAGCGGCTGGAGGACTTGGGCTATTCAGTGTTTATTATAGGGCAATCCTCCCATCCCTTATCCCTTTCTGCGGATTTTAGAGATAGCGGGAATTTGGGGTAGCCTACCTGCGGAGTGGGCAAAAGGAGAAGTGGTGGCCTCCGCACAACCCTATATATACTGGGGAGCATTAATGGTTTCTCTCTTTTGATTTTGATAGTATTGGGTTCTTGTTTGAGTTTGGCATGGGCTCCGGTGTTCTGACGAGTTGAGCTACCTATCGAGACGTACTATCGAGCCTTTTAGCGCATGTGCAGTTCCATATGTCTTGGGATTAAGGTTAGGTTTTAGGGGTTTGGGTTAGGGTTAGGGTAAGGGTTTTAGGGGTTTCTGGGGGGTTAGGGTTAGGGTAAGAGTTAGGGTTAGGGCTATCGATTAGCACTACGGTAGCCTAACTCGACAAAGTAGCTCAACTCGACAGAACACCGGCCGTATATGGTACATTAAAGTGTGATATGCATGTTGTGTGTTCATTACAATATGTGCTGAAATCTAGTGGCGGATAAGCTGTACAATAGGCTCTGGGGCAAAAAATGGACCATGCCCCCCCTTTCCAAATTCACACTAAGGCCTGCCTGTGCCAGTTGTAGCAGTTGCAGATGATGAAATTTAAGTAGCCTCCAAATATTGTACCCATCATACACTGCAGTAGTCCCGAAATCCACGAACATGCTTTTTTCGTCGTATACATGCTTCGAAATTAAGTGTAGTACATTTTTGTATCGACTCCAACCGTGAAATTGTATACATAAAAATAGGAGAAATAACAGTAGCACGTTACAATCTGCAGCACCTTAATCTTTGCGAGTGTTTCGCATTAAGTGCCACATCCCACACATCTTGCGTGATACTCACGCTCACACAAGAAATCGTACGGTAGCCTATATCTACATTATTCCATTATAAACCTAAAATTAGCTACATCAAAAGCGTTGGGGTAGTTTTGCAGACCCTACAGACTATTTACAAAGTAACAAAACTCTTACATACATGTTAATGCGTGTTCTGACTTGTCTTGAATTGAAAATCTGCCAGCCAGCTGACAAAAGTTGGCAACCATGAATAAAATGGCAAGAAGGAAAACGGAAATACAATGATATGACATACACCGGTTTACTCCACCAGCAGTAAAATGAAATTTTCTCCCATGAGGAGGGCCGCATACAAACACTGGTAACGAGGAGTACACGAAGGGCAGATGTGGACTTCATAGTAAGGGAGGGGAAACAGCTGGACCGATATACCCCCAACGAAAGGGCATAGGATGGCCAGCAGTGACCTCTGGTGGCCAAACGGGAACAGGACGGGGTTGAGGGAAACAACACGACACTTGTAGTGGTGTTAATGTTTTTTTTATTGAATTAAAGCAGCTCCACTAAGATCAGCCAAGACTCACTCTGAAGTAAAGGCTCTTTTTATAAATTCCGAAGAACACTTATGTCTTACAGCCAAGGGCGTAACTTCGGTTTGAACATTGGCGGGTGAGGGGGGTGAAGTATCCACCCATTTAGGGGGAGACATGCATGATTATTGAGGGGGGATGTATTATCCGGTTTTGATTATTGGGAGGTTACAACCCCTATCCCTCTCGTAATTTACGAACATGCTAACAGCACATGCGACTTCATGCGTCTCAAATGTCCAATAATTCAGGCAAATATGGAAATGCAAAGTACACAGCAGGTACGCCACTGTAAGAAAACACTGAAATTAGTCTGACCCAGATTGGTTTTATATATAGATGAATAAGACCTCCATTATGCCTGGTAATCCCAGGATTTACATTACAGAGAGATTTGTGAAATACATATATGAAATAAATATACGTGCTACATTTTAAACGTTTTATTAATACGGTATTTTATGTTTGCAGAATGTCTTAATTATAAACCGTGCAGCACGCGCAGCCGCGGGCATTCCCCTCTAAGGAAGCTGCGAAGACGTTAAGCTGCGATTAAAAGTCAACTTCAGCCAAGGAAGAAGACGCTCTTAAAAAGCCAAACGAATCGGAAACTGCCAATAATTAGCTGGCTTCAGCCTGGTAATATGCTGGGGGGGGAAAGCGTACCACTAAACATGGTTACGATCTCCAGAGTGACGTATCTTCGTGAGGAATTTCTACGTACAAGTATGCTGATCGTACTGTAAATCTTTACAATTGCAAAAAAATAAAAAATAGCAGAGCCCATAGGACAGCGTTCTCGGGCTCCACCTTCCAGGGGAATTACTTTCTTCCCTTACATGCCTAGAGAACAAGCAGTCTGCCAAGTCTCTGCTTATTTACTGAATAGCTCCTTTTTTGGTGTTGCATTTAAAATCGGGGCGCTCTGTGTAGGGGAATTATAAGGGTGAGGAGGAAGGGGGATTAAACTTCTCTGCATGTGTGAAGGTGAACATTAATTAAAGTACAGTATAACTGCAGAGGAGATTAGTTCATGTTAATTCAAAATGCATTTGCCTACTAACTGAATGAAACTAAGACCACATGCGATCACTGAATGACCTGGTTTAACGCCGATTCTTAAAATACTTTTACAAATATCACATTTCTTAGAAAAACACCTTTCAACTATTTATAGTTCTGTAACGGTCAGTGGATGGGCAGTCTTCTGGGACAAGGTTTGAGAATAAGTATGTTTGTTTGGACTTAAGCATAGTGATTTTGGAGCTGCAAGCTAAATTTATTTTTTTGACAAACAATCTACATTCCCAGCATTTTTAAGGTATCAACCTGTACCGACGAATTCAAAACCGTTTTTAAACGCAGGAGACGTAAACAGAGAAATGTACACTTTACACTAAACTGCTGCGCTTCATTTAATGTTTCATTCAATGCCCGAATTCTGCAAGGCATTTGAAAAGTAAACAGGAAAACAAGACTGCTGTGACATCGGCCGGCTTGGCACTGGAAGCAGAAGAGCAGACGTCAGAGGTTTAAAATGACGTTGAACAAAAGGTTTACAATTTCAGGCGCAGGAGAACCTGTATGTTAGGCAAATATTACCAATATCTCATTACTAATAATTAATTTACAGAAATGAATAATCTGCTACATTTTGGTACCGTAATTTATCAAAATGTCTGGAATATTATTTTAAACTATTTCAATCTAAAACATAGTATTTTTTTGTTAATTGTGACAAATGAAAGGAAATTCAAAAAAGAAAAATGCTTAAAGAAGGGATTATCACTGTGTTTTTTTGTCAAGCTGAAAATATAAAATTAGGTGGTACCCTCTCTGAAAAAAAAGAGTACCACCTAAAAGCACACCCCACAGCTCTGAACAATAATGAGAAATAACAATTACAACAAAATTATATTTTGATGCTACTTTCTCTTTTGTAATATTTGCAGATATAATGTTGTACATTTTAGAATAGATTTCAAAAGTGATACTGTATGTTAAAGTTGACATGGACACTTTCCTGTTAACTTCACTGTGTGTCTTTTTGAGTATTTACAGGGAGGCGCTTGTGTCTCCAGAAAGCTATGAAAGAAACCCTGACCAAAGATAGGATCAGCCGGTTACGTCACCTGATATTCACCATGCAGGTCGACCAAAGTGAGCCTAACTTTGGTTTAACAGCTGACAGAGTTGATAGAATCAGGCACAACTCTTCCCTGAATTCCCAGAGACAAGCTAGAATCGCATGTACATAGATTTTTATTATCGTTACACCGAACATAGGCAGTGACCACTGGACATGCCCCTTCCACTGTGAAATCCCAAGCTTGGCCCAAGATACAGGCTTCCATGTGGAACACTAGCCCCCCTGTCTTTATTCAACAAACTTCATTATTTTGCACATCCATCCATCCATCCATCCATCTATCTATCTATCTTCCAACTGCATACCCAGTACAGAGTCAGGAGCCAATCCTCCAATCATCACAGGCCATTCTTCTTTATACCTTAATATGATTATAAAGTCAAAGTGAGCATACGATTGAAAAGACTTTTCCCGCCATTCTTGTGTGCACACTTCTTTGATGGGATTGTATCTGTAGTACATCGAAGTATAAAATATCATGCTACATTCAAAACACTGAAATACCCCTCTTTTTCCTAACTGATTGAATTGTAACACTGAATAGGGTCAGCATTGTTCACCCAATGAACAACTCCATCTGGTGAACAGAACCTTAGATTTCACAAGTGAGCAGAATGAAACGTCATATTAAAGGAAACTGCAACACGTTGTTACTTAATTATACGTTCCGACATCGGCTAATAAATATGCCTGTGGTATATGTATTTTTCTTCATTGTCAGTGATAAAGAATGGTATTGAGATGATGACACACAGAGCTATTTGACAAATGCTTTGACAAAAGCTATTTTAACACAGTCTGAGCGTTCCCATTGGCCTAAAAGGAACAGTCCAATACAAATAAAGGCATCTCTAGCAGGAGCGAATGCCTATTATACTGTCTAACATTCATTCTTTTTCTTGTTCATCCTTTGATGGCTTAATGCTGGCTGGGAGGTGTTGAGCATAGATGCGTGTGTGGGTAGGGGGGCGGCCCGTGAGGGGGGGCGGCCCGTGTTTATGTCTCAGGAAGCTGAGATCTGCTGTACTCCGAAAGATGGACACGGGTGGAATGCCTAGGATGGGAGCTGGGGGCCTGTTTAGGGCCACCCGAATTGGACTTTTTTCCCCCCAGTCATCCCTATAAGGCAGTGCTAGAGAGAGGCAGAGGATGGCCAGTGGTGTGTAATCCTTGTTTGGGTTGTGGGAGGGGGAATCACGGGGAAGGGGGGTCTACATAAACGCACCCTTGGCCGACGTTCCGTACACCATCCTCAGGCGGCAAACCCCGGCCAAGCACTGTCAGGGTAAGTACAGCTACTCTCCATCACACTTTTTTTACTCGTAACTAGTGCTCTGCTCCAGGGTCTTACTGCACTGGAAAAGTCATAATCGACAGATCGGCTAATTAAGGCTGGTGGCTTGCTTAGTATTTTCCATTCCAGTGGAATACAGGTGTTGGGACGTGCCGGTGTTGGCAGGCTGGCTAATCGATTGCTTGTATACGGATAAGCTGTGCATGTACAGAAATGAAGGCTGCTGGTCTTGTTCTAATAAAAACCAGTGATGCTATTTATTGAATTTGTTGTAAGACATGTATTCATTTTGAAACATTTCAGTTTGTGTATTGAGCAATATTGGGAAAAAAAACTATCAAAAACTATATACATATATATTTTTTAAGCTGATAAGCTCCACAGTTCATACTTTTCAGATAAAATCTGTTTTTTAAAAAAAAAAAAAAAAAAAGCCAGGGAGACAGAACAATTCAACAAGTTTTTCTTTTAAAGCCGGGGAGACTGAGAACAATTCAACAAGTTGCTCTGTTATGGTGGGGGGGGGGGGGAGAATTGAAATTGAGGCTTTTTATGACTGCGGTAGATTTGCAGCTGATTGTCACGGCAACCAGTTTTTCTTGAATAAACAGGAAATCCACAGTGTCTCTCACCTCAGTGGCCGCCTGCTGCCGTACAGCCAGCGCGAGCAGATCTAACAACCACCTGATCCTTAGCATGGAGCATTAGCACGCTAACATCTGCAGCGGCTCCGTCCGGCTACGGCGCCCAAGCTTGTGCAGTGTGCACCAAGTTTAGGATTTATTACTAAATATGGTCCTCCAGGATTCCTGCAGACGGCGTAGCCTCTACCCCCTCCATTCCATTTTTTTTTTGGATGCTGCAGGAAGGCAGGGCCAGAGAGAGGTTGTGCATAGCTGAAGACAAACCCATGTCCAAATAATTTCCTAATTAGGAAGTTTTCCCATGGTAGCGTAGCCATTCATTAACAGAAAGTAGCACAATCTGCTTTGGCTAGTATACTGTAAGGGTGGTGCTCTGTGGCATTCTGCTTTTCGAAGTGTTCCTGAAATATCTGAAGGCATGAGTCTACTGTGAAATCATATTATAAGAAGCTAATTTGCCTTTTGTGCATTTTGATTATACTTTCTTTATAAACTGAAATCTCTATAAATCTTTACAAATTAAATGTTTACCGAATTGTTAGTAGTAGTACAGATAATTCCTTATAAGGTTTTACATTGAAAAGCCTTTGTATTAGCACAAAAATATTGCTTGTACAATTTAGTGGTATTTCAAATATTATATTATTTAGATATTTTTTTTTAAGTTGTTGAGAGGGTGTGGTCCCTCCAAAGAGGGCAAAACGCACACATGCATGCATGGAGAAAATGTCAGTGGAGGTCAGCCTGGGCAGCGGCGGGGGTGGGATGCCAGTCCATCAGAGGGCACGGGGCAGGGGGACACCCTGGATGGGATGCCAGTCCATCACAGGGCACGGGGCAGGGGACACCCTGGATGGGATGCCAGTCCATCACAGGGCACGGGGCAGGGGGACACCCTGGATGGGATGCCAATCCATCACAGGGCACGGGGCAGGGGGACACCCTGGATGGGATGCCAGTCCATCACAGGGCACGGGGCAGGGGACACCCTGGACGGGATGCCAGAGCAAGCACGAGTGGCCACAAACACTGAGGTCTCTGACAGCCAGTGACTGTCTCCCTGCAGTGATTGTCTCTCGTTTGAGTGAAGAGAGCAAAGCGGATCGAAGACAATGTGTGACGAAGAAGAGAGCACCGCCCTCGTGTGCGATAATGGATCAGGTCTCTGCAAGGCAGGCTTTGCCGGGGACGACGCGCCCAGAGCCGTCTTCCCCTCCATCGTGGGCCGTCCCAGACACCAGGTCAGCTGGCACCGCCGCCGCAGCGGCACCGTTTGCACCCCCTGCCGCAGCCCCCCCTTAATGCGATGACATGCACACCGTCAGCATGTCTGTCTCCCCAGGGAGTGATGGTGGGAATGGGCCAGAAGGACAGCTACGTGGGCGACGAAGCACAGAGCAAACGAGGTATCCTGACCCTGAAGTACCCCATCGAACACGGCATCATCACAAACTGGGACGACATGGAGAAGGTAAGGAAATAAAAGGTCCTGATTTACGAAGCCCTTGTCACTAGACCCCATTGAAGAAGATCTACAAAGCCACTTCAAGCTTAAGGATCAAGTCAAGACACAGCTAGATATTTACTATCAATAACTACTGAATAATGGTCACATATTCAGCGTATTCTATGATCTTAATTAACCTTCTAATCCATATATCATGCTGAAAGTTCCACCAGCAAACCTCAGAACGTTTGTCGTTTTTGGATCATGATATCAAAACAATTTAAGGTACATCCTGACCAGCTAGAGTCATGCTTTGGTTTTCAGAGGCCAATATGGTATTTTATTAATAGCAGTGTAGACTAGTAATGCAGGATAAGAAATATGCACAAAGGAAACAGCATGTGGTCAGTGAGGCATCACATTCTCAGAACAGTGACTAATTACTGATGACTAGTGCGGCACGTTTTACAAGCTCATCCAAAGACCGTAGTCACACTTCAACAGATGGCCAAATATTATGAAATAGTAATATTTTAATATTTATTTTGCAGACATGTTTTAATTTTGATGTGCCTCCATACAAGTAGACTGCAAGCTGTCTGTATGCGGATAAGCTGTGCATGTACAGAAATGAAGGTTGCTGGTCTTGTTCTAATAAAAACCCCAGTTTCTCTTTTGTTGTACAAGTTTCCAAGTGATGCTATTTATAGAATTTGTTGTAAGACATGTATTGCTACATTAAACATTTCAGTTTGTGTATTGAGCAATATTGGGAAATATATATATATATATATATATATATATATACATATATATTTTTTAAGCTGATAAGCTCCACAGTTCATACTTTTCAGATAAAATCGGTGTTTTTTTTTCTTTTTCTTTTAAAGCCAGGGAGACTGAGAACAATTCAACAAGTTGCTCTGTTATGGTGGGGGTGGGGGGGGGGATTGAAATTGAGGCTTTTTATGGCTGCGGTAGATTTGCAGCTGATTGTCACGGCAACCAGTTTTTCTTGAAAAAACAGGAAATCCACAGTTGTCTCCATTTTAATATTTACTTTGCAGAGATGTTTTAACTTTGATGTGCCTCCATGCAAGCAGACTGCAAGCTGAGCTCTGACTGGTCTGTGATGTGTTTGCCTGTAGATCTGGCACCACTCTTTCTACAACGAGCTTCGCGTCGCCCCCGAGGAACACCCCACCCTGCTGACCGAGGCACCCCTGAACCCCAAAGCTAACAGAGAGAAGATGACTCAGGTAATGCCCAACGGCTTCTGGACTTTGCAGAGCTTCTGGGGGAGATTTGATTGCACTGTTCCCAACTAAATCATGAAGCCCTACCTACCAAGTACCCAACCGTAGCCGCTACCATATAGAGTCATTATTCTATTTGCCGCTGTCTTTATTTCAAACGCTGCTCTAAAAATGCACCTCCACACTTTACATCACTGTTACTGCTCTTTTGCTGTTTTTGCACCACTGATTATTGCATATTGTATAGAGGTTTAGGGTACATTGTCACGATCACATGGCATCCTGTCCCAGATGCCTTTTGTGTTGTCTTGAGTAACCTGACCCTAAAAGAAGATAACTGGTGAAGGAAAGTAGGATGACAGAGCTCCTAATTTTTCATCAGTTTAGTCTAAGACACTCCAGTGGCTTGTACTACGAAGCGGGGTTACTGGCTTATCGGGTACTGGGAAACTTGTCGGATTTAAGGTGGTCTGGGCAAAATGTAAGTGAACAAATATCAAGTATATTTAAACCGTGGTACCTTAAATCCGACAAGTTACCCCGATAAGCCAGTAACCCTGCTTCGTAGTACAGGCCCCAGTTGTTCGCAGTCCGAGGTTTTTATTTGCGCAAATTACATGCAAATATTGTCCTGTTTTAGATCATGTTTGAAACCTTCAATGTTCCCGCCATGTATGTGGCCATTCAAGCAGTGCTGTCTCTCTACGCTTCTGGTCGCACCACTGGTGAGCTTGACTTCAGCCTCGCTTCAACATTCACTGCCTCTTTGATTGTATTTGAGGATATTAATAACCAGGGTCCCGCTCCCATCAGGTATTGTCCTCGACTCTGGTGATGGTGTCACCCATAATGTCCCCATTTACGAGGGCTACGCTCTGCCCCACGCCATCATGCGTCTGGACCTGGCTGGCCGTGATCTCACAGACTACCTCATGAAGATCCTGACCGAGCGAGGCTACTCATTCGTCACTACCGGTGAGCAGGGCCAAATCCGTGCATTTGTCAGCAGTTTCGCACTCTGAAGGACCCTTTGAAACTTTCCGGCTAGGGTAGGGACTTCCCGGCACTAAATGAGATATTTCTTTCATGTGCAGCTGAGAGGGAAATCGTCCGTGACATCAAGGAGAAGCTCTGCTATGTTGCCCTGGACTTTGAAAATGAAATGGCTACCGCCGCCACATCATCCTCCCTGGAAAAGAGCTACGAGCTTCCTGATGGCCAGGTCATCACCATCGGCAACGAGAGGTTCCGCTGTCCCGAGACCCTCTTCCAGCCTTCTTTCATCGGTATCCTATCCCTGCCACCATCTACACAGCTACACACCCCCTAACGTCTCTCTTTCTTGATGCTTCGTGCGATTGTCTGACCAGCTGCCGTAACCCCCAGGTATGGAATCTGCCGGAATTCACGAGACCACCTACAACAGCATCATGAAGTGTGACATCGACATCCGTAAGGACCTGTATGCAAACAATGTCCTGTCTGGAGGAACCACAATGTACCCTGGGATTGCTGACAGGATGCAGAAGGAGATCACCGCTCTGGCTCCCAGCACCATGAAGATCAAAGTGAGTATTACACCAAATCTTGACTGATTTTGACACAATTCCCAGAGTTATTTGCATCTTTTGAGAATAGCATGTTGGAGGAAACAGCAAAAATATTCTAAGTAAACATGACTGAACTTAAGCTCAGATAAAAGAAAAGACTTGCAAATAATGTCACACCAATGGGTCAAAAAGCTGGCAGCCCTTGTAATCTGATTCATCAAGCTCATGTATCTCATCTGACTTAATATGAATCTCCAGATCATCGCACCACCCGAGCGCAAGTATTCCGTTTGGATTGGAGGTTCCATTCTGGCGTCGCTCTCCACCTTCCAGCAGATGTGGATCAGCAAGCAGGAGTATGACGAGGCCGGCCCATCCATCGTCCACCGCAAATGCTTCTAAAGCCTCCAGCCTTCCCAGTGATGCCCTCTCTGCCTTCAGTCTTGCTTTTCTGCCTCTTTCTGTCTTCTCTTTGTCCCCGTAGCTTTTCCTCCCCCTCTTTGCACTGCTACTTCTGAATGGATGTTTTTGTTTTCGAATGAATTAAACCTCGACATGCTCGGGCATGTCGGAAACCATAAAAGAACAGGAGAACCAAAGCTCATAGGCGCCCTCGTGTGTTCAGATGCTGAAAATGAACGTTGCAGATGTTGCATGTGTTCAATCACCGCTGTATGCTTCGAGTTACAGTTTAAGGATGGTTACATTGAGAACACTCCAGGAAGGAATAAAGCTCTTCAAAAACTGAAGCTTGTCTGTCTGATATATATATATATCACACTTTTGACATATTCAACTGAATCTGCAGTCATTCAAAATGCATGTTCAACATTACTCCTCAGACTACACCATAAGGTGTAGTTTCAGTTACGGAGCAACACTACCTTTGCATGCAGCAATAACTCCCAGTGACACAACAACAACAACAATAATAATAATAATAATGCATACACCTTACATATAGGCTATATGTATAAAAATAAGAGTCAAGGCACGTAACATACAAACTAGCAAATGATAAAACAGCAACAGGAGACAAACAACCATAACCCCTGTCTTGACATATGGATATGTGTCTTACAAACTCTCTTTTTTTCTTTTCTTTTTCCTGGGAAAGACTAAAGGAAATATAAAACAGAAGAAAGAAAAAGATAATAATAATAAAATCAACTAAAGAATAAAGTCAAATGACTGAACCACTAGGTGGTATTACGCAGCATATATGTGCAGACAGCTGAGGTGACATAATGCACTTTGCCCAAAGTGGTGGGCATGTGTGTGTCTTTCTGTGTGTTGGGGAAGAGAAAAGTGATACATTGGGGGGTAGAGAACGAAGACAGGAGAGGTGGGAGCAAAAGGAAGATTGATGGGGGGGTGGTTGTTTGGTCAACCTAGACAGGCTGGGCCCAGCATACACTGTGTGCGGACCAGAGGGGGCCGCCCCCCACCCGTGACACCCCCACCCCAGGCAGACCACACCCCACACGTCATGCTACCCCTATTCTAGGAAGAGTTTTTTTTTAGTCTTTAGTCTGTATGAATGGGAGAGAAACGCTGACCTGGTGTGATGCACTAAAAGAAGCAGGTCATGCAGGTTGGTCCAGTCTGGGGTGGGAGAGATCAGTAGGCAGGAAAGCGGCCACTGGGGGGCAGCTCAGAGACCCACCCCCTCAGAGGAGGGGCAAAAGGGAGGGGAGGCAGCAGGACAAACTAGGATCTTTGGGAAGAGGCGGGATTGTGGGGCTGGTGATGTCAATATAGGAAAAAAGGAAGGAAGGAAGGAAGAAAGGATTGCATATATATATATATTGTGGGTGATGAGAGGTTGCGCAATTGTAAAAGAAAAGGATATGCAAAAAAGATGAAGATTATATATATAAATAAATAAAAAGCATGCAGTGAGCACATATATATATATATATATATATATATGTAAAATTGTAGCCTACTCATATTTAAAATCTGTTAGAACCATTTAGAACCATGTTCCACCTGTGCCCTGTTGATTTCCAGTCGCACCTGTACCCATGAATGAGATTTTAGAATATTTTTCACCTGTTCCATTAAAACTTGCGGGTTACTCGTCGAGTACTCGAACCCGTGCAGGATTCTAGTAGTCACGTCTCCATTTCCCTTGAGGAAAGCTCTTAGTCTCTGAAAAAAAAGTGCTCCAGGGCTGGCAGATGAATTCGGAAACCCTGCGATCAGACCCCAGGCTTCACTTTCATCACAGCGGGCGCGTGTTTCAAAGCAGAGCGTGATGGGATGCATGCGGGTACTCAGACTTGCAACAGCAAAAAAAAAAAAAAAAAAAAAGAAGCATAATTTCATGACAGCTTATAAAGTGTAAGTTCTTTATTAAAACAACAGATGAACAAAAATCAGATATTCAAAATACTGTCTTCATTGTCCACCGTCACATAATGCCACAACAATGTGCAACGCCACTGGGACTGTATGAAGCCACCTCAAAATCACGGCGCGTAAATTAAAAAAAAAAACAGGAGCGTTTTTTTTGTTTGTTTGTTTTTAAACCTCTCAGACAGAGCGCGGTTTTGGCAGATTATCTCTGGTTATTCTAACTGCTGTGCATGAACGTGGCTGGCTGTTTCTCCGCGTGGGGTGAGACCGGTCGTCGTGTCGCGATGCAGGACGAGCTTGTATACCTGAGCGTTGTCTCGTCAAGGCCTTTCCGTCGATGGCAGGAGCTCCGCCCCTGTAAGGCGTTTCGTGTTTTTTTTTTTTTTTTTCGAGTTACATTCTGAGCACTTTGGTTTAGTCTGTCTACCGTAAACAAACCACCCTCAAGGCAAACTTAGATTATCCAATCAATCCAGGGTAAAAAACAAGGTCAACACTTGTCAGCTATACCTTTTTTTTTTTTTTAAATCCGTTGCCATGGTGTGTGGCTAATCAGACACTTAGTTTAATTTGTTAAACCACTCAAGGTATTAAATCAATATAAAACTGTTTTTTATATCAATTTATCAATGGCTTTCAGGTTATTTTGCTTTTTCTGCACAGTGCATGACCTGTGTATATATTTACTGTATCTATTGCTGTAACCATACAGGAGAACTTTGAGTTAAAATTCGTACCGGAACCTTCTACTGTCTTCGGTGTGGTGCCTGACATCACAGGAAGGATTCCTTTATGCTGTGTGTCCGTTATTTTGCCGCACTCTCGTTCCTGGAGGGTTTTACCTGAAGGACTTTCACGTCATTGTTTTGTCCCAAAAGTTAGTAGGATTATCAGGTTGTGTCTGACCGCACTTCATTTTAGCCGATAGCAGAAGCCACTGAGAACAAAGCTGACATCGAGATAGTTAAAAGACCAGCAGAAGCAACATCGTCGTAATGACTCTGCGACAAAGAGCACCCATGATGCTCTGCGCGGTAAAGCGATATTGATTCACAGTACCTCTTAGAAAATAAATAAATACAAAAACCTTCAAGTAAACAACGATGTAAATAGAAACTTGTTTGTGTATGTGGGGGGATGGGGGCCACTGTGCGGGGCTCTCGTCGCTGTCACCTGAGATCTAGCACCATTGTTTTGGTGTCTTTCACCACAACGTGCTTACAGATCTGCCGGGAGAGAGACAGAGAGAGAGAATCAGATGTGACAAAGAGGACAGTGACCCGTTAGGTGACAGGATGGCGGCCTGGCCACTCACGCTGAACAGCGGGGGGTCCTTCGAGTGAGGGTGGAAGCCCTTCATCCTGCAGTTCCCCACCTCTACCATTCCAGGGCTGGTCAGCCTGAAGACTCCGGTGCTGATTCAAAACGAAAGGGGGAGCAGTCACCCCATTTAAAGATCCACTCTATCCAGCTGTGATAATTCACAAGTATACAGTCAGATTGTCGGGCTCTGTATTTTACTGCAATGAGAATGTTTTTCTCTTTGCCTGTGCTGTTCTCTTAATAAAGAGAATAACCCAGGAATTATAGATGGAAACTAGCCTTTTGTCTGACATTTACAGCAATGCCATCAATTAGCACAGTTTCTGTCAAATAAACCAGTAAACAAACAATATTATGTTTAGTGAAATGTGGAAATCAATACAGATATCCAATTGTGCTTCATATGCCCAATATTTCAACAGACACACACACGCACATAGACCTTAATCATATATTTGTGGGGAACACTCATTCTATTCTGTGGGGAAAAATGCTAATGATGACTGACAACTGTAACCCCTATCCAGCCCCAACCGTAACTACAAGTAACCATACCAAACAAAACATAAGAGTTGTTGCATTTTTAGTTTTTTGAGTGCAGTCACAAAAAGGGGTATTCATCACATCGTGGGGACATTTGGACAAGGTAATGTATATCTGGACCTCACACACACAAACACACACACATACATTATCAAGCAATATCCACAGGCTGTAATTTCGCCTGCTAGACCTGCTAACTAATTCTTGTGCCTGTAGATTCTATGGTTAAGGATGTACAGCTGGTCTTGATACAACAGACTGCCTTGTCAAGGACAAACAGGCCCAGATGGGGCATTGTTCAGATAGCTTGAATTAGATTTTTGTGTTCAGCTGTTTCAATATGTCACACATCTTTAGTTTATGATAACAAACAAAGGCACTTATGTTCGCTACGTCATCGGCCGGCCCACGCAGTTACCTTCATGGTCATACTGATCAGCCTCTCTGCCTCCTTCCGAACAGAGTCCATACCGGCTGTGTGTGGAGGAGTGTGACGGGCACAGTATGAACTTACTCGTTATGCTTTGGAGCACAGACTATGGCAATGGCTTCTGGGAGCATCAGCTGGTACGAGCAGTGTGTGTGAAGATCCACGCTGGAGAGGAATGCCGTCTGTGTCGGGTGTGTCTGTTGACAAAAGGGACTTTATAAACAAGGGCCCAAGGACCTGGAGAGCTGGACCCTAGATTGGTGCCCCAACCCATTGGACGTTAAGAGGCCCCATAACTGTATTAGTCATGTTGAAATTTGCTCAAAAGGTATAGACGGCTGCCGCAGTGGATAGTTTAAAAGTAGACATCCAGCCAAACAGGGGCTCTCCACAGCACCAGCTAAAAGTGAAATGGCTGTGTTTTCTATCCATTATTACCCAAAACCATTCCCAGAAGCACAGTGGTTCAGGAAGCAACCTTAGACTTGCTGAAATGGGCTACGCAGAAGTCAACTGGCTGGTGCCCACCGATCTGCATGCAAAGGCCACGGGGAAACGTCGAAAGACGGGGTCACTCACGTGGATCCAGCCCAGTGTCAGCAGCCCGTGTTGGTCCTGGAAGCCGAAGAGCTCCTCCACGTTCTCCATGTCGCAGTAGTCTGGGCCGGCGGTTTGCTTGGGAATGATCACGTGGGTGAGGACGAACTCGTTGTGGGTCTGAAAAGGCAATGTTTTTGCACTTTGGTGTAAAGCTAAACCAGTCCTCTACTGACTCACTCCCCAGACACAGAAATAAAACCTCCCTTAGTTTTGGTTATTGATACATCATATTTACCACCATTGCTATTATTATTGCAAACTTGTAAAAAAATTGTTGTATTCCATCCTTCTAAATTCACCATAACTCAATCTTCTTGTAAACCATGACTGTTCCGTGAATTTATCCCAAAGAGGTCCAGGGTTGGAGGATGCTTTTCAGCATGTGACGGTCAAGTGACTGACATGTGACTAAGAGAGTCATTCCTTACCAGTTTCCCACAGAGGACTCCGCACGTCTCGATTCCTCTGGCCGTGTTTCCATCCGCGAGCAGCAGAAACTTGTAAGTGAGATCTCGCGAGATCACCACCCTTCTCAAGCCATCCACTCTCTGGTCTGCAAGAGGTACACAGAAAACCGCTACTTTAAGTAGACACTTGGCTTACTACCTTATTTGTGAATGTAAAGAAGCTACAACTTTATATTAAACTGCTACTCATACAGCCAACACCCTGCAGATTTACAGAATACGGTCCACGTCAGAGACGAGCCCGTTCTTGCAAGTTACTGTGGGATGCTGACTCACTCTGCACTGCACCCAGAGTTGAGGTTGGCTTGTTGATGGGGACGGCCTGCTTGCTGCGATTGGGCCCGAGGCTGACATGGTTCTTCGGCGTGCGGGACAGACACGTCCCGTCCGTCTGCTCTTGCACATTGAGGGCGGCCCCGTCCTTCTGGTTGGCCAACTCCTGGCGACGCAGCTGGTCCTCGAAGTAGCGGAACTGCTCGGACTCTATCTGCATCCTGCGCAGCTGGGCCACGCGCTGCCGCTCCTCCTCCATGAGCGACAGCCTCTGCAGCTGCTGGTCGCAGACCTCTGCAGCCTGGCTCTGGGCGCAGACGTGCTATTAATGCGACGAAGGACAAAACAATATGCCAAAACTGTCATTTAAACATCCATTGACCTTCAGCCTCAAAACCCAAACTACTGCATCTGGTTTCATATTTATGATCATAAATTTACTGTATATTTTGATTTTTATCATTTTGTTTGTTACAGCAGGGAGGAGCAATGTTAAAAGGAAACAATTACAGAAACTCATTCATTTGCATATGCATTTATGGGCATATATCATCCAGCAATTCACTTTTGACCTTTGTAGAGGACATCATGATTTTGCTCATCTCTCTCATACCACAGATGCCGCTCTGTTAAGTCCTATTGTTCCTATTCCTATATCCCACTTAGGGATTTAAGATGACATCAAATGTGTGGGGATGTGACCATGCCAAACGTTGAATATATTTGGTGCATTGAAATGTTGTTAGTGCAAAATGAAAGCGAACTCCAGTGTATGATGGGTAACCTTGACATTAAAACCAGAAAGGGCTGCAAGTCTGGAACGTTCTTATATGTTCCCACACCAACAACGGTCGCATGGAGGGATTGCAGGATCTGGGTGCCCCACTGGTCACCACGGTGACGCGCCCCTCACCTGACTCTTCACGTACTCCATGTGCTCTCTGTTGTACTTCTCGTGGAGAAGCTTCTTCAGTTGATCTTTCCGTGGAAATGCCACGTCCTGCAGTTTCTGTGAACGTGAGGCAGACGACGACAGAGCTGAGCAGGCCCACTCTCTCCCACACACACACCTCAGCTGCGTTTTTCACCCAAAACCGGTCGTGCCGGTAGCAGCTTGGCCAAACGCATCAGGAAACCAACACTGTGCAACAAGACAGAAATTTTGTTTATTTTTTCCTTCTCAAATACGTCCTTCTCGGAGGCCTGTCCTCTCTGATGTGAAAGTAGGGGACAGAGTCGCATCACTATGTCAGCACCGGGTCATGCTCGTGCTTTGAGGACATCAAGAGGTCGACCCAAATCCAGAGCAGGCCCCACTGGCACAGAACGCTCAATTTTCGCAAGAAACCCCCAACCCACAGTGTGAGCTAATTAGCGCACCACTAATCGGATTTCCATTAGACTAAGAGGCCCAAGCCGGGGATGAGAGACCCACCTTCATGATGACCTGCTTCTCAGGAACACTGCACTGCTGGTAGTCCCGATGGCTGGGTAGCTTCTCCACAAACAGCCTGACAACGAGGAGCGTTTATCCAGTCAGGTAGGTGGTAAGTCAGCACCTTCCCCTCCGTGCTGGCGGCTGGCGCGGCGAATCTTACGTGATGAACTTGTTGTAGAGCACGAAGGCGTTCTCCAGGCTCCCCTCCTCGAGGTAGACGGCGGCCATGCGCTCCATCTCCACGCCGGAACGGAAGTACCGCCGCGGGGTGATGTCTTCGTTGATCTCGATGTTGCAGCCCATCTTGCTCAGGGCACGGACCCGCTCCGCCGCGGACAGCGTGACGTCCGTGTGATCCGGTTCCGCGGCCAGCTTCTTCTGTGAGGAAGAGATGTAATGGGGGGGCGGGG